ATGACGTCATTGTTATTTTTAGCAGCAGCAGTAGTAGTAGTGGTGGCAACAGCAGCAGCCACAATAGTAGTAGAAGCAGCGGTAGAAGTAGTAGTAGTAATTGTAGTATTGTTGGTATGAGTGATGCTTGTTTTGTTGTTTGTGGCGCTGATGCTGTTTTTGTTCATACTTAAGTGCTCCATTGATTTTCGCGGATTAGATCTGTGTTCTTTTACTGATGCGTTCATAAACCGGAAGTGATTTTTGTTTCGTTGTTGCTGTTGTTGTTGTTGTTGTTGTGGTTGTTGTGTCATTGTCAAATCTGAAGACGATAGATTAGTATCAAAATGTTCTTTTTCAATTTTTTGATTGCGATGTTGTTGTTGGAAACTTTGTTGATGCTGTTGCTGTTGTTGATGTTGTTGTTGTTGTTGAAAAATTTTTTGTTGACGTAATTGTTTTGCAGGCCTGTGAATGTCCAGCCTTCTTTGGTGGATTTGACCGACTTTCACGAGCAGCAAACCCCCGAACAAAGACATCAAAAAACACGGGAGAAGTTTGGCTAAGAGAGCGTGACACCAGAAATTTATTGTCCTCAGAACCGTTTCCGACTCGGTTACTATGTAAATGAGAATCGGTTCGCTGTTGTCGGTATTGTTGATGTTGTTGTCAATATCATCTCTAATGTAGTCATTCAAAGACTTGTTGCTACCATTGTTTCTACTGTTAAGGTTGTTGTTGTTGTTGTTGTTGCTGTTGCTGTTAATGTTGTAGTTGTTTTTGTTGTCAACATTTTCGTTTTCATTGTCCAAGTTCATTTTTCTGTAGTCGATAACTTCTTTAGAATGGTCGCTGAATATACTTCTATAATGTCTGCCTTTGTTTTTCTTCATTCTATTATTATTCTTTGTCTCGTTGTTGCTGTTGTTATTATTACTGCTATTATTATTATTATTATTATTATTGTTGTTGTTGTTATTATTATTGTTGTTGTTGTCATCATTTCCGGTTCTAGCATCATTAGGAAGGATCCTTCGTTTCATTTTGTCAATGGCCATCTTGCGCATTTTATTTTTTCTTTCGTTGTTGTTATTATTATTATTGTTGTTGTTGTTGTTAATGTTG